AGCATTATTTTAACTAAGGCTGTAAATTTTCCCATGTCATTATGATTATAGTTAAATTTGGGAGTGTCCTCCACCTGCTCCCAAAATATGAAAGGAGACAGATATAGACATCATCTTGTAATTTCTGTAAACTTAATCCTGGTCAAATATAAACTTAAATGACAGCTGTTATCCTGGAAAAGTTGTCTCAGGCTCATTATTAAGTGAAAAAACTTCAGGGGCTCTCAGACACCCTTCTCTTTGGGGAAACAAATAGGGGAAAAAACTGGTAATTTAATGTAGCATTCTGTCTGACTTTGGGCTGTTTAGAAAGGAGGATGACTGCAGTGTTTATATATATTTAAAAAAAAAGATAAGGTTGAATAATGCATTCATGTGTGGCTGAGTGACCCCAGGTAGGTTGCTGCAGAATGGCAGAACAGCAGGTAGTACAAGGAAGGAAACTTTCTCATGCCCGGGGAGGTGGTGTTCTCCTTATTTTTAAATTGGACGGTGGTGGTGGTGGAGATCTTGTACAGAGTGTCAGAGGCTATGGGGAGGCATTCTGTGCTTGTAAGGCCTCTAATAAAGAAATGTGGATATGGTGGGCCTTTGCATACCAAGTGGGACACACAAGTGTGGTTGGCACACCACTTCAGGGGGTGCACAGGGCTCCCAAATGTAGCTGCTTTATTTTTTGGGAGAAGGAGAGGGCAGAGTCAAAGCCTACCAAAGATGGATGTCCAATAATTTACAAACTATTTCTACTAATTAATTCTACATTTGCTACTAATATATTAATTATTTGCAAATATTTATCAATGGTTTAGGCAAATAAATTTCAACTTGTGGTTGGTTGCCAACTGTTCACTTATTTACTCTGAATAATTTGTGGTGAGTGATAGATCACTGAAGTCACAAAGTATTATTTCTGTTCCCTGATTGGATGACTGAAATTCCAAATAATGAACAACGGATTCTCTGTAAACTTATGAATATTCTTGTTTGCATATGAATACTAGCATACATATGAATAGCAGCAATTCCCAAAACAGTCATGTGAACAAAATCCCCCTTGTATTAATGTTTACAAACAGCGAATAATAAAATAAATGAATGTGGTCAAACTGAGCAACCAGTTGGCACTTGAACAAATGCATTTTTTAGTATTTAATCAGCTCTAGAAGTAGATATAACTTTAAACATATTTGTTCACTACATAAAGAGTTCTTTACTACTGTCAAAAAAGTTAGTTTACACATTCATGAGAGCTACATCAACTTTGAAAAGGGCAGTGTTCTCAAAGTTCATTCTGTCGAGGAGCTGTTTATCTTGTTGAAAAATGACAGTCTGAAAGCTATGATTTATAATTATCCACATCTCTTAAGTCATCATTTCCTTGTGTTTCTTAACAATACACAATGATCATAGTAATGCAAATGGCATCACACTTAAAGAACCACAAGACCTTAAGGAAAATAGGACCAGCTGTGTAACCTTTGTCTTCCTTTGTTTATATGACAAAGCAAACCAGGTGCACTGTTAAGTCTCCTCTCCAGATGTATCCATCGTTGTCCAATATATATGTAGGTCACAAGTGAAGAGGGATATAAAGTAGCCAATTCTGCATCCCAGTGATATGGATTGCTCTCCTGCTAATCTGTCTCTTAATGAGAGGGTATGCTTACCGTGAAAACCCTGTTTTTCCAATGCAGATGGGACAATTAGGCTGCCATTGGCCTTCTCCAGAATTTCAGGTGGCTCAGGTGGGCTTTGAGGGGAGGTGGCTGAGTTTTTTATTTTAGTCTTCGGATTTATCAACCCTCCACTTCAGAATTCAGAAGCAAAGGGTTAAATAAGACTGAGAGGAAAGACAGGAGATTG